TGTCATAAAGGAAAAATAAAAAAAATGTTCTTTGCAGACGAAATGAAAGAAAACATGAATCCTTCTGGTCAATTTTCTGTGTGGTTTATGCTGTTTTTATACAGAAAAAAATTAATCCTTCTCACTTTGATTTCTATAGTGACATTGTCAAAGCTAATTCTGGAACAGGGCTAAAGTCGAGAATCTCTCTCTCGGGCATTTAGTTCGAATTGTTATAAACGCGAGTATATTTGCACGAGAAAACAAACGAAACAAGTATCACCTGTGCGATGAAATGAAAAGACATTAAGTTTCGGAATGGCTGCAACTCGTTTGGTCGCGCCCGTACTCTAATTATACTGGCCTCTGCCCAAGACCGGCATGGGGGCCGATGTGTTTGGGGACTTGAGGTTTCCCCGATCTTCCAACAAGAGTTCTTTGTTGTCTGGCTTTGGAAAATTAATTATCTTTCCAAATTTAGGAGATCCCTTTTCCTATAGGCCGTGATCGCAGTTACTGATCTACCGTATAACTCCTATCCTGTCTCATTCATGCCTCGCACCATTACTTCCCAATGGGCGTAGGTAATTCCTCCGTCTCTCTTGGAATTTCACCTAAGCCTTTCACCTTGTTTGTCATTTTAACAAATCTGATTTTTAAACCGTAAAGGAGATGGGCTTAACTTCTTAATCGTAATTTTCCCAGTTTAGGGTATTGTTTATAATCAGAAATTTACCACCTGTTTCCTTCGACAACCATCACCATATCTTGTTAACTCAATCGTACTTCTGACCCTTATAAGTTCGTTTCTTATCTTAATTTCTTCAAGCATGGTATAAAATTCTATTTCTTGAATTGTTTACATTCATCCGCCTTTTGACAAACAAAGTAAATCAGTTCCTTTAACTTTTGCCTTCGTCTCTGATATTCTCAAATATTTTTTCAATCGTCTTCTTTTCCAGAGAAGTTTTCGTAAGCCGCACTTGTGTGTCAATGGTATACAAGAAATTATATAATAAAAAGGAAATATAAAATTATATAAAAATAATTAAAGATTAAATAAAGAATGAATAAACTAAGTTTGTTTATTACACTTTATGCTGAGGGGAGTGTTTAAAAAACATTTATTAAAAGAAGGAAGCTATTAACACATATTCTTAAAACAAAAAAATCTCAAATGAAGCGAGGGGTTAGTAAAAATGGCTTGAATAAAACTTTGATGTGTAAAACTTTGTATATGTGAGGTTCAAACTTATGTTGAAAAAAAAACCAAACGGTTTATAAAAAGATACGTGTATAAAATTTGGATTTAGATATTTGTAAAAAAGAGGCTAAAATTTGATCGTCTCAAAACTCGCCAAAATTAACTTAGCGAACAGACGTGCTTTAAAGAGATACATTTTGTGACTTTTATCCAAAGAGGAAACTAAGTTATTTCTTCAAATTTAGATATACGATTGTTTTTCTATGGTTATTGTGAAAGTTTGTCACTAGTTTAGCAGTATTAACTCTGATTTTGAACATTTTATGAAAGATTTATTTATAAAACTGCACTGTTGTCGAGACAAACCAGAAACCTAACGACGCCTGTGAATTGTCAACCCCTTTCGACAGTCGAATGAATCGAAGTGAACATTTTGTTGGTAATAATTGTAATTGTTTTTTATGAGCTTAATATAACTGGAATTAGAACTTGTCTTACCTAAGTGTTTGGCGCCCAAAGGAAAATTTTGTGCAAGTTTTTTTGTAAATTTTATATTCTGTATTATTTTTTATGCTAAATGTAAATTTCTTTCAAATTTCACACCGGGATAAGTCTTATGCTTTTTTTCGTTTGCATCATTCATAATACTCGGGATAACAGATTTGACGTCCTCTCTTTTCCTCCTTCCGAGCCAAAAAAAAAAAAGATCCTTTTAATGGAGTTAACTTAAAATGGTATCTTGAAGAGACTGATTATGGGTTTTACACTTATCGGCGCAACTCAGTTTAGTTAGAATAGATTTATTTTTCTTTTCTTTGAATCTTGGATAAAAGTTATGATTTCACCTCGTGCTGTATGTCTGTAATTTCTTCTGTTTGGATTATTTTCATCCCCATCAAGGTAGATGGTTCTCTGGGCTGCGTTCTCTGCCTAATAGAGAAACAAACACTATACCATAAGGAGGGTATCCTATCAACAAGTGCATAATATCGATGAGGCCTCTCGATGCCATGTTGAAGTGAATAGTTACGGCTTTGCTTTCTGGGAATTAATCCAGATAGTTTTTTTTTCTTTTTTATTTATACCACTTGCGGTGTTGCTGTTTCACTACCTAGGTCCCTCGTTTGCCATAGCAAAATATGACCACAGTAGAGTTAAACCCAGATCACTCATCCAAAAAAGGAGACTCCCGGTTTTCCATCTCCTACACTAACATAAAGTGTCTAAGATTCAAATAGCCGGAATATGAACTACATCTTCAAGAGGTCAAACCTCATGTTCCTGTATAAAGTGATATTTAGCTACTATCACCCCCCACCACCGCCGCCGCAAAAAAAAAGCTCCTTCGAGCTGAGACATCCTGTTTGTGTAAGTAAACTGTTAGTGTTAAGTACAGAGGTGGGTGAGGTGCTATTTGAAAAATAAATGTCTGCCTTGTCATTTTGTTATTCCTTTCTCCAAGTTTTTCCCGTTCTTTCTATTTTTGAAGAGAATATTTTTTTTGTATATGAATCTGTTTTTTTATTAAACTTATTTTTACATATTTCTTCTTGCTTCTGTGGTAAATCCCTTTTTTCAGTTTTTGTTATCCCAGAAATTTTATGCCGCCTTTGAGGCGCACAGAAGAAAATTTTTGTGTAAAAAAACTTGTATCTTTTTTTCATAATTGTGTAAAAAAACTGTAAAATGTAAATAAATGCGTTTTTTCTTTTGAAATTTTGTGCATGCAGTGGTTGTCTTGATTTAAAATTTTGCGCCTCTTCTGACTTGCTTTTCCTGCTAGAGACTGGTTTTTTTTTTGTGTGTCTGGCACAAAGACTTGGCGTTGGTAAGTAAAATTTTTATAAAAGTAATGAGAACGATAGAAGAACAAGTAATACACAGAAAGCACATCTACTGAATTCAGTTTATTCATTTTCATTGACGCTGTCACACATCGAAAAGGTTTGTATGAACATCATTTTCGTGTCCGCCAACACTAACTGAAATAGAAAATTAGCGGTGATATGACTTTCGGACCACTAAATGTACTCCGTGTAGGGTATGCCTTTAAAAAGCAACCTCATTTAGTAACCCTCTACCTTGAGTAGCTCTTGAGCTTTGTATTGGGTGAACATAATAAATGCAAAAAATGTTAGCAACGACGATTTCTTAGTTCAGTAATTTTTTTTTCAACCTGTGTGCTATGGGAGGATCGTAGGTCATAAATTAAAAAATATTTTCGAAAGAAATTCAAAGATCATACGTACCGTACTATTATACATATCAAAATAAAAAACCCTTTTTAAATTGATTATACAAGTTACAAGTATATCATTGTTAATAGACCTAATATAAAAAAGAAAGTAAACTTAAACATCTTTTTCTGCAATAAACTAAACAATAAAAACAAACAAAAAATGATCATAGCTAGCCTTAGAAGATTTAAGATGTCTGTCCAAAATTCATCCTCGCAAAGATAAGAGAATGTCAAGCTCATCATTGAATGATATATTTATTTTTTTTTGTTTATTATAATTTTAGTAAAATGTTTTGTGTTAGATTAAATATTCTTTTTTGTCCTCATTTAAGTGTGCCGTAAAAGTTTAACTACCCAGCCTCCCTCCACCAAGGCTGGATGTGACACAAGGTCGTTTTAATGTGGGGAGCGCCATACGCATACTTAATTTTTGCAATTGATTTTTGCCCAACCGACTCCCACTTAATGCAGTGAGGAAGGAACTGCCGCAGGTTGGAATCCCTGGGGCTGAGCAACTTCTCCAATCTAACTTGTTGAGGAGAAATATAGTTCCACTTACAGCACAAGAACGATAACCATACCTCAGTAAAACTCCTGGGTATTTACCTACGGCACCATCACTGGAGCGGGATGCGGGACGTGACAGGATCAAGTTTCCGTGACATTAAAAAACAAAGGTTTGAAAACCTTGCCCTAGTCAATAAATTAGAGAATAGGATTTAAAAAAAAAAAGTGTGCGGGGTTAAAATTGGATATCATGTTTTTTTTCTTAAAGATTCCTGTTCCGATATTTTTTTTTTTTTTTTAGACCTAACTAAACTTATTTTAATACAATTTTTAAAATCTCTTTTCTTTGAGTTTGCTATCCCCTCCCCCCACATAATGAGATTGATAAGAAGCCTCAGAATCTAATTTGAGAGAGAGGTATGGTAGAAGAATTTTTCTGATTCATTTTGAAATTTTGGTAGTAATGTTTTTTAGACAACTGGTAGTTCGATCAATTCAATTCAACCACATTGTCAGAGATAGAAGAGAAATTTACTCTTCTGCTTAGGGTTTTTAATTTAGTTGTCAGTTTCTGTAAAAAGTTGGGGTACTGAAGTGCCGTGGATGTAATTTCCCTGCGCAGTTATTTTTTTTTTTTTTTTTTTTTTTTTTTTTTATATTCAGTTTTTAGTTTCCTATTCATTTATGAGGAGCGGTATTAAGAACAACATAGTCTGAGGCGAACTGGGAAAATCCAATGTTTGCAATAGGCTGAGGCAAACAAAAGAAAAGGACTGAATCTAATTGGTTCAAGTGAACTTTTGGGAGGAGATAAAGATGCTTAATCTGTTTAAAAAGCTTCGAAAAAAGAAACAACTTCTTAAGAAGCGGCCCTGGGCAGCACAACACTTGTGGTGTGCCCAATAAGTAGTTTCATTTAAGAAGAAAAAAAAATTGTTTTTTCCCCTTCTTTTAGAGAAGCTACACTTGTATTTCTTTTAAAGTTTTACTATTTTTAGGCAGAAACTAACAGCAACAAGCAGAACTACCACTGAGGAGGAAAAATAACTTTCTTCCCACCCACCTTTCGACATGTCTTCGATGCGAATTCTGTTACTTCTGGGGATCCTCGGGCTGATGTACCCCCGGACATTGGCGGAAGATGTTCACTATTACATAACGGCAGAAAATGTGATATGGGACTATGCGCCTAGTGGAAACAATCTGGCAACTTACGATGACGAGTAAGAATATAGTTTTTTTTTTTTTTTTTTTTTTTTTCTGCTTAAAAATTTATCTTTCTTCTTACTCACCTGTCCTCTGGGTATTTTAATTTCTACCCACTTTCTTAAATGAAACTCTTCAAAATTCATGAAGTCTTAGGAAAGTAAAAACTCTCTAAAAACGTCTTCTATTAAGAATGTCCACCGTAAATTCAGGTAATTAGATTTTTTTTTTATTTATATAAAAAATTATTGTATTTCTGTCTATCACTCATTGAGACGATGGACAGTGGACACTAAATTGTTTTTTTTTTTTTTTTTTAAAAAAAAAAGAAGCTCCCCAAAAGCTGATAAGAAATAAATAATAAAATGATGAACAACTAGTACTACTAATTTTGTTTTTATTTAACCAAATACTTTTTATAATACAATTTTTTATTTTTTAGAGAGAAATTTATTTTGACGATGGCTAAGTACAGTCAGTACACAATCAAAAATTGATAAAATAATGTACTTAAAACTTAATTTCAACAACTATTTGAAATTTTGAAATATATTTTCAACTTTTAACTAAGTGTCATTTTGTTTTGAAATATTCTCTAGAATGAGAAACTATAGACGATATTTTTTCTTTCAGTTTTACTTTTTTATTTATTTTGCAATGAAGCCTTTTGCGGACATAAAAGCTAGTGTTTTAGAAAAAATGGAAAATGAAGTTTTATTTATTTTGAAAATAAATGTTATCAATGAATTTTTTCGAAAAATGCTGCACCTCAGTTCAATAGCATTGTTTCAAAATTCAATGTTTTGTTACTGTGATCAAGGAAAAATGTCTTCTGTCTTTATTTCTCAGTAAAAAGTGGGTGGGCTGACAGAATTTCAGCTTAAAATTCTCTGACATGGAGCATTCGGATTAATGTCCTCATCTTTGTTATTATTATCACAACGTTTCTGTCGTGGCCTTCCATTTTCTTTCAGGTGTCTTCTGTCGATTCGTGGGGTAACCTTCAGTGAATTTTTAACTGAACCCTTCATGCGGCAATTGACTTAGTTCCGTTGTCTAGTAATAGAAGGATTTTTAGACAAATTATTGAACAGCATTGTCATAAATCGAAGCCAAAAACACAGTTACTCCTCTGCTTTTATTTCGACAAAAAGGTGAAGCAACTAAAACTAAACCAACACCCAGTCTTCTCTACGGTACTATGGGTGATTCAAGGGGAGGGGGTCAAAATAAAAATATTTGTGAACGTATGTCTTGGTTGATCTGTTTGTTTCCAATACTAATACAAATTTATATTACCAATGAATATCAAAATAGATTAATCAGGGTTAAATTTAAAGCAGAAAATCATGAATACGTTGGATTTCATTAAAAAAAATAGTGAGAATTCAAAAACGGATGTCAGTGGTGTAATGGAAAGAGGGTCAGAATGAGAAATCAGTAGTTCAAAAATCCCAGTTGGGTTCATTAGGGGAACAAATTGTCTGCAATCACAGAATTGTGGAATGATTAAAACAGAATTTGGGGTTTTAATGTAATTTTCAATATAACAAATTAATTATTTAACTAAAAAAAAAAAAATAATTCTTTCAGAACTTAATAACTGTCTCCAGTTTTGTTAAACAATTGAACTAACATAATGTAGTTATTTCCTTAAAATTTGTTTTTACAAATATTTGTAGTTATTTTTCCTTTTAAAACCCCCAAAAGAATTAAGAACAAAAATGTTTACATAAAAAAAAAAGAAAAAAAAAAAGAAAATGGTTTATCAATTTTCTGAGAATACGTTTGCTAGTCTATTTTTAAATATTTTAAAACATTTCTAAAAAAAAAACAACAAACTATGTAACAAACGACATGAAAGTTGGAAGGTCACGGTTCGGTCATGGCCACCGAAATCCAGCACTAAAATGGAAATGGGGAAGATAGACACGAGTTGATGTCAAAATTGGAAGGGGAGAGAGACGAAGATCAAACCAATAAGTTCAACAAATTCATTTCCTTTAAGAAGGCCTCACACAATTTACAAGTAAAAGATTCTAAAGAACTTGTAACCTTCTTGTGTTATGAATATGACAGAAAAGTAGATCCCATCACATGCCTACCATACAGTTTAGAATAGATTTAGGAATAAAGAAATTTTTTTCAAAAAACATTGACTGGCTTGTCTACTCTGAATCTTACCATCACACACCGATTCTTCCGGATTAATAATTGCATCATTTTCAGTTCTTCACCATTGTAAAAGAAATTTAAATTTTGGAATGCAAATAAGAGCAGATGTTCTCTTCTGGAACAGATTGCCAATAAGGTCATATGGATGCCTGTTACCAGTGTAGATGCTGAACATTCGTTTTCTCAGTATAAATATTTACTCCATAAACAATGTGAAAGTCTTACCTCTGAGAACACCAAACAACTCACAAGCTTGTATTACAATGGACATTTAGAAAAGAGATTTCCCAAATGAAGAAATTAGCAATTTTAAATTTGAGCAGTATTTCAACTTGGGATAAGTTGTTTTATTTTAATTTTGAATTATTATTATGTCTAATTTTTTTTATATTTTGTTATAAAGATTCAGTTATGGTTTAATTACTGTTTTGTAAAATTTTAGTGAAAATGTTTGCCATGACTTTAAGAAAGGAAAACATATTTAATAAATTCCATTATTTGTGAATAGTTTCTGAAAGTTTCATTAAAATCCAACAATTATTTTTATTTTTGCAAGATTTTCAAAATTAATGTCTGTCATATAGAAAAAAAAACTCGCTAAAATTTTGTTACTTAGTAGTTCTGCTGGACACTAAGAGAAACAAGGTTTTTCAATCAAAATTTAGAATGTTCTAAAAAGAGGGAAATTTTTTTTTAAATAATTAAATACTTTGTTCTTTCCTCTTAATAATAACATAAAAATTTAGACACTAAAATTTTGTTTTTGTCAAGTTTAGCATCTTTTTCATCATGCTATGCTCTTTTTTAGCGATCTCATGAAGGTACCTATATGTGCTATGTCTCTTACGTACATGGTTGATCATGGTTCTCCGCAACTACCTGTCCTTTGTAGCTCTTAAGGTTTGCCTTTTTGCTATCCCTCCTAATATTCTGTAAAACATTTACACAAGTTTGTTAAAAGAAAAAAAAGTTATTTGCTGCTTTCTGCTGTCTGTCTTGCCTTCAATATATCTTGTGAGTGTTAATTTCTCCAAGCCCTCTTTTCTCATTATGTTCCCTAGAAATATTGGTTGTCTGTGTCCTTTTTTATTCCTTTTTCTCTAAAACTTTCTCATTACTCGCGTTCTATTCATGATATTCCCAGCTTCCTTCTGTAGAACCATATCTTTGTTGGCTTAAGTTTCCTCTTCATCCATGAGGAAACTGGCCAGCATTCATGGACACATAGGAGGACTATAGCTTTGTTTTTTATGAAAATTTCCTGATTCTTAAAACTTTGCTTAACTTTTAGAATGCATCTTTACTATTCCAAACTGACTATTGTTATTGAAAAGCTAAAACAGTGAAGCTATAGTGTACAGAGCAATTGTACTGCCTGGTGTGGTCATGGAATTTGCCACCCCCTTATGAACAAAATTCCCAAATTGGACAACATCTACAAGATATGAAGGAAGGTGTTTGCAATTATGACCATTTATTTTTTTCCTGATTGTAGGTAAAAATATATCAGCAACAAATTTAACAATAAAATAACATGGAAAAACATTTAAAAATGATTAGTAAAAAGTATTTTAGTAAATAAATTTTAGGATACAGTATTATTAGATTCATAATGTAGGCACGATGAGAACAAACCCCTAACATTAATTAATTCATAGTGTAACCCTGAAATGTAATGTCCAGAGTATTTACTAACCATGAAGTGAATTCAGGTAAAAATGCATTGCATGGCATGAGAGGAAGAAACTAACTAAAATCTACTAATTGACTAAAATGCCACACCCAAAAGTTGCTGCTCGGCGTGGGCTGCCCCTCCTGTTCACCCTTTTAAATCCACTAATACTATTTATTTTCTGAGGTGCCTTTCTAAATATCAAATATGAAAGTCTTTTTTTTAAATTTCATAGCTCTCTCTCTCTTACACACATGCACTCTTATCTCTCTCTCTCTTATATATAAGCTGAATTACCCACAACTTGCTGTGTGTCACTTTTTTTTTTTTTTTTTTTTTAAGAAAATGATTGATTTTAAATTGTTATAATTTGTGGTCAAACATGTTCATTTCAATATTACTCACTGATTTTGCTGATGTGACTTCCATCTTCTGGCTTTCTCCTATAATTTTGGATGAAAGTCATTCCTTTATAAAAATTTAAATTTAATTTAAATCAAAGGGAAAAAATTTCAGTAGGGTGTTCATGCTCCTCCACCTTGGGGGAACATCTTTTTGATCAAAATTAAAATATACTTATCCAAATACCCTAGGACAGGGGTCGGCAATCTTTTGTTAACTATGTGCCAACTTAGGGTTTTAAAATCATTCTCTGTGCCAACAGCATACATATTTTAAGGTCAATATACTTGTTCTATAATATATTTTATATAGTATGTATACTTTAGTATATATTAAAATTGAAACAACTAAAGATCTTTTTTGCATTGTAGTAGTTATTAGTTCAGGCTTTGCGATGTTATTTGCAGCAGAGTGCCATTGAAAATTGCTTGGTGTGGCGCATGTGCTGTAGGTTGCTGACCCCTGCCCTAGGAGTCATTCCCTTGTTACAATTTAAATTTAATTTATATCAATGGGAAAAAAAAATTTCAGTGGGTAATTTGTGGATAGTGTAGTTTCAGAATATATATCAGGGCTCTACGTTGCGAGTGATTTTTTTTTTCCAAGTGGCGACTAGAAATAATAAAACGCTTATCTTTTGGCAACTGTGTTTTTTTCACCGACAATCTTCCAAAGCTCATTACTGAGTGAAAAATGTCTGTTCAACCTTTTTTTTTTTTTTTAATAAAACTAGCAAAGTCAAATTATTTAAACAATAAAAGGTTTAAT